GAAAAGTGCTTTCCAAAAGGTCAAAGTAAATGAAAAAATATTTTTTCTATACGTGAGCTTTGAATCATTTGTTATCACTCAGGCGGTAAAATATGAAAAGCAAGTTTCGAAATAAGTTTCCCGTTTTCTTCATTTAGGCAATGAAGCCTTCTGATTGCCGATGGCTCTGCTTTGATCCGCAGCATCCGCTGATGTGAAATGACGTATGAAACGATATCAAATTCTGGGCAACAGCTTTGTCTTCACCTTCTCTGTTGTCATATTCGCCACTGTCAACAGGAACTAATGAAATAGCCCTTTGCACTCCTCAATTTAATTCTGCAAGCTTCTTCTGTGCAAAAGCTTTCACATTTCTAGCCAACAATATCCATTCATCACTTTTCCGATGACCCAGATCTAGAAGGAGGGTAACAAATTGCTTTCGAAGACATTGACCCCCGTCATAAGTCAATATTCTGTCCATGAGTGACATGATTCACTGTTTAGATGGATTACAACATGAGCCCATTAATTTCGCACAAAATAATTGTGCTGCATTTTCCAGATTTAAATCATTAAAGTCGTGTGAAAGACTTCGTGTTCCCATGTAATTTCTGAATTTTTGCATCTTTCCTTGCTCCTGAAGCCGAATGGGCTTCATCCTGTGTTCAGAAGATATGGGCCAGAATGAGTAGATTTTGCGATGTGCTTTCTAACATTTTCAATGGTCTTGGAACTGTTATGTTTTTTTTCCATCACAACTGTACAAGATTAATCAACAGCCTCTTCAACACTAACAGCAGTATGATAATCATCTGTCCGTTTAAGAAATCAATGCCAAACTTGTCGGCAATCATAACAGCTTAGGTGTATGGTAAAACAGTAGGTTACATTTTCACATGATCCGTTACGTTAGCCGTCGCCTAAGTTATGGATAGTAGATTCGATGGTTCAGTTATGGACGGCTTATCAGAAAGCGGAGAAGGTCTATCAATAGTACACTTTTCTTGACTATTCAGAATTTGGGTTTTTGGGCACAATGACACGAAATTTTACATCGTTTATGCCTACAGGCGTTGAATTAGAAGACCGTTCTTATCATGGTAGCATAACATTTGAACAAAAACAACATCAATGTGAATTTCTGAATGCAGTAGAAATTTCCAGAAACAAAAGATGGCAATTGATGAGTTATATGATGCTCAAAAATGATTTCTATGTACTACTAAAACTTCTGATTTTGCATTGTTCCTCTACTGACCAATTCCAAACTAAAATTCCCATACCAAAGCGTATCCGTTTGCATTATGATATTTTAACTATTGTACTGCTCGCATTCATAATTTATTAATTTAAATTGCTCGAAATATTAGAGATACGTCTGTTTCTAAATGTAATTTAATATTTTGATCATTCTGCTACTTCTAACGGGATTTGGCGTAAAACGAATTTAAGATTTATATTTGTAAATGAACTAATACTCAGGAGCAATAATGAGTTGAGATCTGACGTTTAATGGGATATCGAAAGATCTGATCATACTTTTTTCAGAGATGATGCGACAATGATGTCAAATCCTTTAAAAAATCAAAAGACAATGACATTTATATTCACTGGTCGAAGAAATCTCATAAATATCAGTTATTTATAATCTACCTGTTAAGCAAACACGAACGCGGTTGTTGCAGGAATCATAGTCAAGTTTCCGTGAAATATGAGAACATCAATCAACACGGTTGTGTTCTGTTAACCGCAGCCAAAGACCTGGGTAGATCAAGTATCGGTTGATCTGTAGTTCCTCGGCGTAGTCATATCGGCATTTTATTTCAGTGTTTGATCATCTGGCTTTTATCGAGCCTTGCAATGGAACATGGGCATTTTTCGCTAGTTCCATGTCTGGTTTGGACAATCATTACTAATGGTTTTCCAAAATTTTCTTTTGATCCGTTTTTGTTATCCAATTTGTCCTTTTTATGGATGCCTCATGAATTCAGTTCGAAGCTCCCACAGGATCTTTGTTCTCCTCTCTCTACCTCGACTATGGACGATGTACTTTCGCCATTACATCACCCCAGCGGGGTGTTCCTGGATGGCAGATTGCCCACTGACGGTCCAGCGATATCTACTTTGTATCACGACGTCAGCCAGTCGTCTCTCAGGTGAGTCACATTGCCGGTTCGTCTTCTCTTGACGCCGTGAAACAGCAATCGCATTAGGTTATTCCAGTGCATTGCAGCATTCGTACTCACAGAACTTTAATTCGGAGGAGGGCGGATTTTAGCAGTAGACGGGACTTTAAACGAGACCGATTGACACTCAGGTCGAATAGGTCACTCAATGCCAATCAATTTCAATTTTCAACGGCTAATATTTCGCTCTGGTTTCAGTCTCAGTGCGCTTGTAAACATTCAAATTATTATTCCATCACAGCTTGTTCCAAGGTTCTTTTCAACGCCATTAAAATACAGTAGAACCGCATTTATGAACTGAAGAACAAAGTAAATACATAGATTGAAATTCATGGAACACTTTGTCATTAGTAACTTTTCCGTGCCTCCTTATAACATGAAGCGGAACGATCATGGATTTAATATACCCGATTTTTTCCTGCTGATATTTTTTCTTTTCCTGAAACTGAATAACACCAAAGTACCTGATGTTATGTCAAATAAATACTTCACGGTTTCAAGATGCGCAACAACATCGTTAAAAATTCAGTAAATACTCTTCACTATACATCTCGAGAATAAACTGACATTTTCATACATATACTCAGCAATTATGTACATATACTTTCATGCAACATCAAGGTATACATTGCAATGCAGTATTAATATCGCTAAACACTATTGAGATGAACAAAATAATGTCCTAGGCAGTTTTGAAGCAAAGTTCAGAAATGTCCTGTACAGACGGAAATACCGTAGAGTTGTGGCCGCATAACTCATTGGACAGCAAGGACCACAGATGGGACAAAGGCGTAGCGGTGCCCGGCTTTTTCGCCATTTGAATAAAACATTTTCTTATTTCGAAAAATAAATACTCACAAAGTAATGATCGGAAGCTGAAAAATTGCCACTCACTCAAATTTACTGCACGATCGAGTTGCATGCCATTCAGAAAATAATGTGATTTGCATAATGGAGTATTTTTGCCTTTAAGATCATAAATTTTAGTTGCTTCAGCCTCCGTTTACCCACGTCAGAACTTCAAGAAGATAAACTTATTTTGCTTTAAACGAAATTTTAGATAAGAGGGTTAAAGGTAAATATTTTGTCTTATGATACGGAACGTCGACAGCTCAAATACTGCTCTTTGACAGCTGCGAACATACTTTGTGCCGTAAACGTTATGCAGCACGCGGAACATACAGACTATATTGGCAATAGTCCCAATTTTCAAAAGTAGTTTAAGCTACAAAGGTTAAATTATGTTTGGTATATAACTGGAGGCAGTTAAGCAAAGATACTCAAAGGTCAATTTTATAAATGTAGATGAGAATTAAGTATTTCTGTCGTGATTTGGTGATTATATTAAAAATGCCTTTGAATACAATTTATTTACATAGGACGCAAACAAGTTGGTCGATGAAATGATTGAACGGTACCGCGTCTTCTGGCTCCAAATGTAGGAAGCACTGCGAAAGAGAAAAAGGACTTCTGAAACAGATCAACCTCAAATCTTTGCAAAAGTCATATAAAACATGAGCCTCAACTTCGGTACCGGTCAGTGTTACTGACCGAATCGTTTGTGATGTGTAAACATCAACCATG